GCAATAGTTACTTTTCAAGTAATTAATTACTTTTAGAATATTGTAACTCAGTTACTAACTCATTTACTTTTTTGAAGAAGTAACTACTAACTATAATTAATTACTTTTTCAAAGTAACTTGCCCAACACTGCATAGATACTTTTTCTTTTACTAAAGCCCAATCACATTTTTATGAAAGGTAGCTGAATTAGAAATATTATTAAATAACAACAAAAAGAAAAAAACAGGCATCAATTGGTGCTTGTAGTAAATCTTAGCATCTTAGTAAATGTTAGCTTGCTATTATGCTAAATATTATTAATTTTGTCTTTCTGGACATGCATCATGTCAGTACTATAGGGCACAAAGCTATGGGCTGTTAGCAAGACGTACAATGACTTTTTTATGCACAGTAATGCATAATTTAGGCTAAAAAACAAACAAGCTTACTAAAAAGAAAATTGAATCTGCTAGCTTGTGCTTAACGACCTACTGTCTTCTTTTGTTAGCGTACCATGTGCTAACTATGGGTCTAACTGATTGTCTGTTTATCTGAAAGTTATTACTGTTTGTGTCACACTTCTAGGCTTCCCATCCTACAGGGAGGTACATTTGCCTTGGTGACCCCAGCCATGGCCTTGTTGTCCATGCCAGACTGGGAATGCCCAGCTTGGACCAAGAATGCCAGCCTGGTCAATACCTCCTCACCTGTCTTCATAGACGTGTGGCAGACCCGCATGAGAACAGTGAGCCAATGCAAATTCTGCGCATCCAAATCTTCGCTTAAAAGCACGCTAACAAAAACATAACAGCACTTCTGCAGAGCTCATGATTTATTCAGTGAACACATGTGGTTTGCACTCCAGGAAGTAACAAGTTGTACTCATTGTTTAAGTCTATCACTCAGCCAAAGAAAGCACGGTGACATTGATACTGATGTTCTTGAACACTATGTTCCTGTCCACAGCTGCAGGGCTCTATTATGGTGGCCTCTCTCCTCCAGGTCTTGGTTGGTTTCTCTGGCCTCATCGGCTTCCTCATGCGCTTCATTGGCCCTTTAACCATTGCTCCAACCGTGTCACTCATAGGCCTGTCGGTGTACGACTCAGCTGGAGTGAAGGCAGGCAGCCACTGGGGCATTTCTGCTATGTATGTAACCACTCTGAAGCATCAGTATGGGGTTGAAGATTTTCATCCCACGAGGTCACAGTCTAGACTTACATCAGGATGTAAATTCTGCTTTGTCGTGGTTTAGTATGCAGCCAAAAGCTAGTGATTTAAACATGGTGTCTACAGTGGTATCACCAGTATCTTCCCATATGGAAAAGAAATAGAAAAAACGTATAAAAAACTTGCATCAGATGTGGCCTACTTCATATAGTGAATCATATAAGGCTTATATGATTTACTCATGCAAGTGGCCACTTTCATATATTGTTTTAGTAAGTTTTCAAAACATACAAGTTTCATTTATATAATTTTTCAAGGGATCTTATATCTGTTTTCACTCTTGTATGCTTTTCATACAAGTTTCACACAAGACAGATACAAACTTTATAAGATTTATATATATATTTTCCATATGGGTTTCCAATGACACAATAAATATGAAGTCATCATTTTGAGTAAAATGCACTGAAATATTTTTAAAAAATCAAAGATTTATTTAATAAAATACAAAAATCTTTAAGGAAAATGTGTTTGGTATCAAACAATCAAATAATTTCATTCGACTATATTCTATAAAATGTAACAACTTGTACTTAGGTAACAAAATGACCTGGGAATTTTACATGCAATTAAATTAGTTAAAGTCAGCAGTTTGTGTTGATGTTTTTTGAGTTTTTGTTTGCACATCATCACCTTTTGCTTATTCTTTTCTATGCACAGGACCACAGTGCTGATCATCCTTTTCTCTCAATACCTCCGCCGCATACCAATCCCTGTTCCTGCATACGACAAGATCAAGAAACTGCACGTCTCAAAGTTCTTTCTCTTTCAGATAATGCCTGTATGTTCTCTTAAAATTCGACTTCATATTTGATGTAGCAAAAACACACTGGCTCTAATACTAACGTTAGATGTTGATTAGATTCTCCTGGGCATTGCAGTCTCATGGTTAGTCTGCTACCTCCTCACCATCTATGATGTCCTGCCATCTGATCCAGATGAATACGGCTACCTGGCTCGCACAGATGTGAAGGGAAATGTCGTGAGTGAGGCTTCTTGGTTCACATTTACTTATCCTGGTGAGTCCACAGGGAATTAAAACAATGCCAAAAGATGTATTCAGCAGTAAGAAGCCTAACTGTTGACCTACCTATTCAGGTAAATGGGGGTTGCCAACTGTTAGCCTGGCAGGTGTGGTTGGCATTATTGCTGGAATAATATGCTCCATGGCAGAGTCTGTGGGTGACTACCATGCATGTGCCAGGCTGTCAGGAGCACCGCCTCCCCCCAAGCACGCCATCAATCGTGGCATCGGTGTCGAGGGAGTCGGGTCTCTGTTGGCAGGGGCGTTTGGCACGGGCAATGGCACTACTTCGTTTAGCGAGAATGTGGCAGCCCTCGGCATCACCAGAGTAAGACACTGTGAATATGAATTGCATAAAATGTTCCACTCCGGAGCTTTATTATCTTTCAACACAAGGATCAAGACTGCAAATCTAATTTATGAGTGAGGCTGTGGGTCCTGATTACCTGGGCAAAACATATGAACCGCATGATGTTTCATTTGGCAACAGGTGGGCAGCCGAACAGTGATTCTTCTGAGTGGATTTGTCATGATTTTGATGGGGATGCTGGGAAAAATTGGAGCAATCTTCACAACCATCCCTACACCTGTGATTGGAGGGATGTTCATGATCATGTTTGGAGTCATAGGAGCTGCTGGAATTTCTAATCTGCAGGTAAACAACCGTGCTAAATCCTTTTTTTAAATCATGCTATTATCTGTGTTTTGCTGACACATCTTACATGGCAGTCCACAGATATGAATTCTTCTCGGAATATCTTTATATTTGGTTTCTCCATGTTTTCTGCACTTGTTATTCCAAATTGGATCATGAAGAATCCCGCTTTTCTGGACACAGGTAAAATCACCATTGAAAATATGACTATAAATAGTTTTTAATGTTAAATAAAAAGCAAATCATCCAAAATCTTTTGTGATACTTTTTTCTGTCAGGTGTCCAGGAGGTGGATCAAGTGTTGCAAATATTGTTGACTACTCATATGTTTGTAGGAGGGTTCCTTGGCTTCTTCTTAGATAACACAATTCCTGGTAAGCTGAAATGGATGGCTTCTCTTGAATAATACAGACTTTTCATAACAAATGGCACAGATGTATTTAAGGTACATATTTATACCAGCATATCATTGAAGTATACTAGTCGTATGGCCCTGCTTTTGGGATGTTGCCTCCTCAGCATGCGTGTATGCTTGAATGTATAGGTAATTATATTAGTAATAGCTCTACTTTTTCTACTGTGACTTGTGAAGAGATGGCATCAGGGGACTGAAAAAAATAGTAGATTTTATCGCAGCTACCTTGGGCAGGTCTCACTTGCAAAACAGAGGTATCTCAATTGGACTAATAAATACAGTTAAAGCTGCAATCAGTGCATCTCAGTGGTGCTGCTGTCGAGCCATGCTACAGCTCAACCGTGTTTTAGATGAGGAGTTTTGTGGTTATGTGGATGTTTTAAGCCTTGGATGCTGATTGGTTGTTGCTTAAATTGGCTACTTAACCCACACCCCCACCCACCCACCACGCCCACTAGGTGGTGATGGAGAATAACCACTAATTATAAGACACGCTGCTTTATATCATGCATGGAACCACCAATAAAAGTTTCATGTACATGGGATGATGATTATCACCTACTGTTGATTTCCTGTTGTTATAAGTGTGACCTCCAGAGTCTCCAGACTCTGACTCTTATCAAACATGTGAAGTCTGGGGCTGACCGGACAATGTATACTTGAGATATACAGCAATTACCTGTTTCATTGCCAAAAATCAGTGTTCAACATGGCACCAATGTCACATCCTTTGATGAAAACTCAGTTTTCAAATTGTAGTACCACTAACTGCTTAACCTTATAGCCAAATGCCATTTGTATCATATTTGCTACATGAGTTTCTGAGACCTCTATCTCATAATTGCCATAATTTCAAAATGTTATGGACAAAACTCATGGCATTTCTCGTTGCCACAAAGGGGCACTATGACTACCATTAAATATTTCTATAAAAATATCTTCGTTTAAATGGAAATATCAGAAAGAAGTCTGGGCCAGATTGAATAATCTATAAGTGAATGACAGCAAATTAAAATTCCAAGTGTTCGAAATTCACCACAGTGCCACAGATACCGCCTTCAACAAAGACTCAAAAAGTTTGTAATATAACATTTCCCAGTTCTGTTGTTTAGACAAACCAAATATGAAATTGATACAATTACAACCCTAGGAGGAGTTTGAAAAAGTACAACGACTGAATAATATAAAAATGGCACCAAAATCAATTAAAAATGACAGACTTCCTGTGTGGTGTTAATTCAAAATGGTAGAATTACTAATAAATAAAGCTAACCAAGAAATGCAAAAGACCGCAGTCCCTTTAAAAGGGAGTCAATCCTCATAGGCACTCATGTTAAATGGCCAACCTCACAGCAGAAATTAACTAATTTACCGACAGCTAATAGTATATACATTGGAGTGTGGCTCCCTGGTGTTCTTCCAGCCTGAGGAGGTCACAAATAATCTGCCCCCAGTGCTGGTCTCAAGCCTGGATAAATGGGGAGGTTGTATTAAGAAGGGCATCCAGCATAAAATCTGTACCAACTCAAACATGCAGATCAATGTGTTGTGGCTTTGGGAAATAATGGAGTCAAACGTATCTTCTTCAAACACACTATATGCAGTATGTCACCCCGGCTTAAAGTCATACACATCTAGGAGCAGTTAGCTGACATATCAGCAGTGACTGAGCTTGTTTTACACTGTATATGTGTACATATAAGGGTGTGGCATATTCAACTAACAGCCTTCTTCATACCATTCAGGGAGTAAACGTGAACGTGGCCTCTTAGCCTGGGAAAACGTGTATCTTCAAGACTCTAGCAGCAGTTTGGAAACTGATGAGGTGTATGATCTTCCGTTTGGCATAACTTCTCACCTCCAATCTCAATCCTGGGCTCGTTACATTCCTTTCTGCCCACACAAGCGTCACAGATCTCAGTCGGAGGACAACCATGTGTCACAGAGCCCGGGGAGTGAGTACAGCACACGGATCTGAACGACCTTAAGTTTGCTTCTTAGTTTGAATCAAACTGCTTGTTTCTTACCAAGACGTGTCACAGAAAAGACTCTGGTGTTTAGACCGTGCATCACTGACTGATGGATATCTTTTAAAATGAACCATGTACTGGTTAGCTGTAAATATCAGGTATATATGCATTTAAGGTAACTCTCTCTCTCTGCTTGATCTTGATTGCAAATAGAGATCTGTCCATCTTTAAAAAAACAAGATCAAGACAGTGGGATTATCTCTGTCAAACCTGCAGTCGCTTTATTTTTGATGTGCAAAGTAGATTTTGACAGTTTGAGCCTGTCTGCACCGAAAAGGAATAAAAATATCTAAGACTCGGATTCTGTCAACACCAATTAAAGGAGGACTTCAGAGCGATCAGAGTGTTACTGTGTGCCACCATTACTCCCAGATCTTCCAATAACTTGGTGCTGGTCACACAAACAGAAACAGAAAACTGGAATAATGTGCTTGTCTTTCTTCTCTTTCGAAGGAAATTAAATTTAGCCCGTGGATAAATTTATTATCACACAGCACCATCTCCCCATTCATTCAGGCAGCTGCTTAAAAACCCATAGCAGCAGCCCCCTGAGCTGTTATTGTGTTTCCTTTAGCGAAAACAAACACAGATAACGCATCTTCTCAATCTCCCTGCCTTCCATGCTGTCATATCTTTCTCCCTCTGT